GTCAAAATTATGTGCAGGAAAAACACAAAATTATGCAGGTACTTATACGGTTGTGGGGTGTGTGTGGGGGTGGGAATCCCTGCATGCCCTGGCAGGATGTAGGGTATTGTGGGTCAGGAGTGAGGGGCAGCAGCAGGGCTGGGGGGAGGGCTGTGGCTTGGGATTGACAGGCAGACAGGAGCACCCAGCAGGTAAGTCTGTGGAGGGGGAGGGGCAGAGGATACCTTTTTGTTCACGATGAAGTGTTTTTTTCAATAACAAGTAATCTTACCGATTTCAGTGGAAGTACTCATGCTGTAAGGCGCAACAAAGTGTGAGTCAGGTGTTGCTGTCTGACCTTTTAAAATTATAATTTGCTTAAAAACTGAAACTTGTAAAGTTCTGTAAAGGTGTATGTAGCTCTTCAGAAGTTCTGTTGTCAGCCTGTAACATCCAAGTGCATCTGCCATCTTTCAAAGTCCTGTGACTTGACAGCACAGCTGAAAATGGAATTCTTTAATTTTTTGGCAATAGCTGAAATATTTCATGTTCTCTTTGCCAAACAATTTTTTTGTGCGTGTCAGATTAACACAGTTGTCTGTGGTCAGTTTCCTTAAAAGCATAGAAAGACTGAGCTCCATAATTATGGTGAGCAGGCTGGCACAACCTTAAACAAAGCAGAACGAAATAAATGTAAAATTCCAATGCCTGAAGAAGGTGTTTGTGCCAGAAAGCTTGCAAAGAACAGTTTTTCCAGCTATTTAGTTGGTCTAGTAAAAGATATCACATCTATCCAAAGAACCTTGTTGGCCTAAATCCCAATATCTGCATTCAGAATGAACAATTTCCCATTAACTTCAGTGAGGACTAAATAGAAACAGGCAACGAAGTTCAGGATTTTATCCCAAGATATTCAGGACAATACAGCAAGTTTTTCTGGAATAGAAATGCCTGGCTCTTAATCTTTTTTTTTTTTTTTTTTTTTTTTTTTAATATCAGAAAATATCAAAGAGCTGTTCTTTCCTTATGGGACTGCGTTTAGTTCTAGCCCAATCACTGTGACTTCACTAAGAATACAGTACATAAGAGGCTTGAATCTCCTGGCACCATTCTATATAACCACATGTGGAGATGTAGGACTGCACAGTGTGAGGTAGACAGCATAAACACAAGGCTTTTTTGTTGGGAGTAGTAGGAGAGATGGGTGATGTTGATGAAAGATTAATAAATAGAGTGCTTGTATGGAAAATACATGAGAGATTGAGGAAGAAACTGAATTCACTGTAATCGGGAGATTAAAATATGGGGGAGCATGCTGACCCTTTCCTTTCTTGGCAAGTCGCAATAAACCCAGTTCTATACCAAATCCCCATTCAAGAGAATCTAGGTCTATCTGTCACCCATCCAGTTTACCTGGGATCCTAGCTCAGCTAGGGTAAAATTAAGTCATGTGTAGAAATTGAGAGTTTTTTGCTAGCTTTTAATTTTATCAGGTATAATGCAGATCACTAAACTTTCCCGACTTTTAAAATTATGATTAAACTGTGTAATACAAAATGCAGCTGCTGTCTTCCTTCTTCATCTGCCTCTTCAAGAGAAGGTCCTGACTACCTTTCATATTTTGGCAGGCAAAGAAGCATTAAATCACTTACAGATGCTTTGCAGCAAATTGGTCTCCTGTTAGTATTTTGGAAGCAACAGTGATCATGTGCAGTAGATTTTAGTTGATTGAGAAAGCACTATTTCCAATATTATAATTATGCTGTAATAACTAATGCACGGTGTCTGTAGAAGCAATGCCCAAATGAAAAAATGTCAATCAACCTCATTCCACTGAGTTTATACAGCAGTCCATATGTGTATAAAACCCACTGTTGTGCTCCATTTGCAGATATAATTGATCTGTAATTTTGAAAATCTATCTTTGTTTTTGTACTATTAGATGGTTTGAAAGATGCTATATTATTTATAGGGCTGTCAAATACTTTAGAAATGTGATTGTGATTAGTTTCATAATTAAAAAAAATAATCACAATTAATTGCTATTTTAATCGCACAGAAGTCAAAATTATGTGCAGGAAAAACACAAAATTATGCAGGTACTTATACGGTTGTGGGGTGTGTGTGGGGGTGGGAATCCCTGCATGCCCTGGCAGGATGTAGGGTATTGTGGGTCAGGAGTGAGGGGCAGCAGCAGGGCTGGGGGGAGGGCTGTGGCTTGGGATTGACAGGCAGACAGGAGCACCCAGCAGGTAAGTCTGTGGAGGGGGAGGGGCAGAGGATACCTTTTTGTTCACGATGAAGTGTTTTTTTCAATAACAAGTAATCTTACCGATTTCAGTGGAAGTACTCATGCTGTAAGGCGCAACAAAGTGTGAGTCAGGTGTTGCTGTCTGACCTTTTAAAATTATAATTTGCTTAAAAACTGAAACTTGTAAAGTTCTGTAAAGGTGTATGTAGCTCTTCAGAAGTTCTGTTGTCAGCCTGTAACATCCAAGTGCATCTGCCATCTTTCAAAGTCCTGTGACTTGACAGCACAGCTGAAAATGGAATTCTTTAATTTTTTGGCAATAGCTGAAATATTTCATGTTCTCTTTGCCAAACAATTTTTTTGTGCGTGTCAGATTAACACAGTTGTCTGTGGTCAGTTTCCTTAAAAGCATAGAAAGACTGAGCTCCATAATTATGGTGAGCAGGCTGGCACAACCTTAAACAAAGCAGAACGAAATAAATGTAAAATTCCAATGCCTGAAGAAGGTGTTTGTGCCAGAAAGCTTGCAAAGAACAGTTTTTCCAGCTATTTAGTTGGTCTAGTAAAAGATATCACATCTATCCAAAGAACCTTGTTGGCCTAAATCCCAATATCTGCATTCAGAATGAACAATTTCCCATTAACTTCAGTGAGGACTAAATAGAAACAGGCAACGAAGTTCAGGATTTTATCCCAAGATATTCAGGACAATACAGCAAGTTTTTCTGGAATAGAAATGCCTGGCTCTTAATCTTCTTTTTTTTTTTTTTTTTTTTTTTTTAATATCAGAAAATATCAAAGAGCTGTTCTTTCCTTATGGGACTGCGTTTAGTTCTAGCCCAATCACTGTGACTTCACTAAGAATACAGTACATAAGAGGCTTGAATCTCCTGGCACCATTCTATATAACCACATGTGGAGATGTAGGACTGCACAGTGTGAGGTAGACAGCATAAACACAAGGCTTTTTTGTTGGGAGTAGGCACAGGGACAGTGTCTAGTTATATATATCTAGCCATAGTCTGCAAGAAAAAGTTTTTAGTATTTTTTCAAAAAACAAAGAAGCATTACAAATTGGAGTGATGGGTTTTGTCACAGAACATTTGTAGTCATACAGTGTTTTGCATAGCTGTGAAAGCAACATGTATCCTGC